GTTGGAGTGCAATGGTGTGACCTCAGCTCACTGCATCCTCCACCTCCCAGGTTCAAGCAATTCTCCTGCCTCAGCCTCTCAATTAGCTGGGATTACAGGCACATGCCACCATGGCCAGCTAATTTTTTTAGTATGTTTAGTAGAGGTGGGTTTTCACCATGTCGACCAGGCTGGTCTTGAACTCCTGACCTTGTGATCCACTGGTCTCAGCCTCCCAAAGTGCTGGGATTACAGGTGTGAGCCACCACGCCCAGCCAGATTCCACTCTTAATCCGAAAAAGAATTAAATCCTATCATTCACAGTAACATGGATGGGCCTATAGGATATTATATTAAGAGAAGTAAGTCAGGAACAGAAAGATAAATATTTCATGTTCTCACCCATATGCAAAAGCTAAAACAAGCTCATTTCATAGAAGCAGAGAGTAGAATCATGATTACTAGAGGTTGGAAAGGATAAGGGTGAGGGAAGATAGGGAGAGGTTGGTTAAAGGATAAAATATTACAGCTAGATAGGAGAAATAAGTTATAGTGTTCTACAGTATTATAGGGTAACCACAGCTAACAAGAGTTTACTATATATATTCAAATAGCTAGAAGAGAGGATTTTGAGTGTTCCCATCACAAAGAAATGTTAAGTGTTTGAGGTGATGAATATGCTAATTACTCCAATTTGACCACTAGACATTGTATGTATCAAAATATCACTATGTACCCCATAAATATGTATAATTACATGTCAATTTAAATACACATTGCCAAAAAAAGAAAGAAATTAAGTGTATTCTATTACATGAAAAAAAGACAATTTCAATAATTCCACTGTATTCTTACCTTTCACTCACAGCTAATTGATAAGGGTTATGATATCAAACCATGATTGTGTAGTCATTCTCTGTAATGGCCAATCATTCTCTCTCTGATGCTGATTGCCACAACCTTAATATTTGTTAACTATCTTGTAACTACTTACAAGCTCTTAGTGAGGAAATACGGCAGATTCATTAAAATTCACACAACGATTGAATAATTAATTAAAATTTCATGTCTTATTTGTGGTGGTTCAGTGGCATAATCTTTGCATTTGGGCATAGTAAAAACCCTTGATGATGATTACAAAAAGAATACAAAGTAAATAAATAATGCTTTCCAATGCCATTTATAACTCTTTAAGACACTGAATCTAGGTTAATGTTAGCTAACTGGATAGCAGATTCAATTTTCAACAACCAGTACAAGTTTGACATTTTATGCTTTGCAGTATATATAAAATACATACATTTTGTTCTTCCTTAAGTGTTTCTTCTAGCTGAGCTGCAAATTGTGAACAACACATCAAGAATGAATTCATATCATCCCCAGCCTTTTGAAAAGAATAATAAAATATAAAGTTACTTTTACTTCAGAATTCATATGCATGTCTTTTTCTAGTATGCTTTTTGAAAATATTTTAATTTTGTGTAACTTATGTCCCTTCAAACACACAAGGCAAGAAGCCATGCTTCAAATGCCATACTAGCAAATTCTCCCAGAGAGAAAACATAGAAGAAAATACCCACTGAGAAGTGGTCCATCAATGACATATACACAGCTATGTCTCTCCTCTCTTTCCTCTCTACACAGTTCTAGAAAATCCAGCATCCCAGCCTTATGGTCCTGAAATTTTGGGGTGGCCCAATAAAAGATAATCACTACCACAAAAATAATCTCTTGACATTAGAAAAAGACTACTAGCTATGACATCTGACTGTATACTTGCCATGAACTGCCATCTTTTGCTCTCACTAATGGGCAATACAAAACTTTGACCAAAAAAATAGTTACAACTTAAATGTCATAATGATCAAATCCCTTCTAGTAAAGCAGTGATTTATAAATCAGAGAACTGACTTATGATAAACAAATATTACAGGCTTATATACAGTTAGGATTTTCATAGAATGGTTCTCCATGAAGAATATGTTCCCTGAGGATTACATTTAAAGATACTAAGCTGGGCTCAGTGGCTTACACCTGCAATCCCAGCATTTTGGGAGGCTGAGGCAGGTGGATCACTTGAGGTCAGGAGATCAAGACCAGCCTGGCCAACATGGCAAAGCCCCATCTCTACTAAAAATACCAAAAAAAAAAAAAAACAAAAAAAAAAAACCTGGGCATGGTGGCACACGCTGGTAATCCCAGTTACTCAGGTGGCTGAGGCACAAAAGTAGCTTGAATCCAGGAAGTAGCAGTTGCAGTGAGCCAAGATTGCACCACTGCACTCCAGCCTAGGTGACAGAGTGAGATTCTGTCTCAAAAAATAATAATAATTAAACAAATAAATAAATAAATAAATATACTGAGAGGCTCACATACTTTTTTTTGTCACAGTAAAGATCTATTATCTTACAGGAGATGAGGAAAAAACTAAAATAATCCATCCAGCAGAGTAGAAAAATAAAAAGAGTAGTATTACTAATACAAATATAAAGAGAAACCATTAGCCCACTTGGGGATCTTCTTCCACCCACATTTAGGTGCCAGAAATATAGACAAGACAGAGAAATATAGAGAAGATAAGATTATTTGACCAGGTTTATAATTTAACCAAATAAGATCAATAAAATAGAACTGGGCAAGACAGTTAAGTACATATGAAAGGGACTGATAGTAATAGTGGACCATGCTATTTAAGCTAGGTAAGTAAGGGCACAGGAAGACTTGGGATACTAAAAAGGTAGCAGGACCAATGGATTATGGTTCCCTGTGAAATCAAAGGATTTTTAAGAGTCAGAATATTGGACAGACTGAATGGGAAAGACAGGAGGTGGTGGCCAGAGATTAGGATAACTGAAATACAAATTATGAAAAAGTTATGGTAAGGACTACAGGAAGAATATGAACTTCCATTTCATTTTATTTTATTTTTTGGTTTTTTTTTTTCTTTCAACTTTTGTTTTGATTTAGCTGGTGCATGTGCAGGTTTGTTACCTGGATATATTGCATAATACTAGGTTTGGGGTACCAATGATCCTGTCATCCAAGTATGCAGCATGGTACCCAATAGCTAGTTTTTTAACCCTTACCCAGCCTCCCTCCTACCTCTAGTCATCCCCAGTTTCTATTGTTGTCATCTTTATTGGATTTCAATTTTAGCTTTTAGTTTTGGTTCACATATTTATTCAATCCTGGCAGGGCCACAAAACATAAGAACCACAAGATCATGCAGTATAAGGATTGTGGTTACACAATCCTTTTAATAGTTGGGTAATCATCACCACAATAAAAATATACATTTCCATTATTCCAAAAAGCTTCACTAAATTCTTTTGCAGTCAATTCTCTCCTCCTGTCTTAGCTCAAGACTACCTGTCCTTTACTACAGTTTTCCCTTTCCCAGAATTTCATATAAATAGAATTATACAGTATGTAGCCTTATTTATTTAGCTTCCCCACATCCTAATGTTTTTGAGATTCATCCACGTTGTTCTATGTGTCAGTAGTTTACTCCCTTTATTGTGAAGAGTATTTCATTGTATGCTATACCACAATTTGCTTATCCATTCACCGGTTAATAAATATTTGGGCTGCTGGATTCAGTAGCTATTCTGGCTTATGAACAAAACTTCTATAAACATTTATATACAAGTCTTTGTGAGGATATATGTGTCCATTAATCTTGGATAATCACTTAAAATGGAATAGGTTGTCTTTTAAGTATATGTTAAACTTTATGAGCAGCTGTCAAACTGTTTCTCAATATAGCAGTACCATTTGTGTTTTCACCAGCTCTGTATGAGACTTCCTGTGGCTCCATATCTTTACCAAAACTTGATATTGTCTATCTTTAAAATTTTGGTCATTCCTAATGAGTATGTAGAACTCCTTTTCTGTAACCTTCTTGGCAAAATTCAGGTGAAGAGGGATTTGATTGGGTTGAGTAATTTTCTAAGAGGATCCTTTCCATAAATGGGAAAATCATTCTGAGAACATATAAGGACTCTAAAAGAAAACATTTAAAATTTATATTTTTAAAAGAAAATCGACCATTTTCAGTTTTAATATCTCTATCTTAAGGTTGCATATACTTACAGATAAAGATAATTCTTCATGTTCATGCTTTACAAATGGTTCTTCTCCATTCTCATCACAATGTCCATAGGTTTCTTCCAAAGTGGAAACAACCTGTTAAAAAAAAAATCAAAGCACATTAGATACTTTAATAGTTCAAAATTAATTATATTAAATGTAAATAATATTTAATCAACTGTTCCAGGACGTCTTTAACAGTAATACTTATTTCTTCCAGTGCTATAACCTTAAATTTTCCATCCCATGCCCTATTTCATGTCATCATGAGGAAAAAGCAAAATTCCTTAACCCTACTCCCTAGCAATAGAGAGATGTTCTATGACTGCACCATTTCTGTGTTGATAGGTAGCGTAAAACAGAGGCCTATCCATGAGTGGTTGACACATTACATAGTTTTCCTCAAAGTCTCCCTTGACTTTCTCCTCTGAAGAGAGTTGGAGGAAATCAAAAGATGGAGATCAGAAAGCAATGAATTTTTAAAGAAAATTCTCTGGCCTCAAACTTTCAACAAAGTTGGACTGTACAAGTTTGACATAGTATTTTTATATTTGTGTTCTTCCTCATTGTTCTCACTTGATATTTGGTACATTTACAATTCAATTCTGGATCACTGTCCAAAAAGAAACTTAAAGGGAAATTTTTCCCCACATCAAGAATTAAAGTTTCAGCTGGGCACGGTGGCTCATACCTGTAAATCCAGCACTTTGGGAGGCCAAAGCAGGTGGATCACCTGAGGTCAAGAGTTTGAGACCAGCCTGACCAATATGGTGAAACCCCATCTCTACTAAAAATACAAAAATTGGCGGGTCCGGCCGCCTTCTCGCCCGGCCGGCAGCCCCCGGCCTTAAAGCGCGGGCTGCCCGGAGGGGTTGGCTTTCCCACCGAGGACTTGGCACTCTGATGAGGGAAAAAGGCGAAAGAGAAAAGCGAGCAGCCGTCCCTTCACAGCCTCCGAAGGTGCCCGCTTCCCTTCGGGAGCTTCCGCCAATCGGGAGGCAATCTTGGAGGCGGTATTTGACCTGTCCAAAGACAACTTGATACCTCTATAATGTAACAGAAAATATCATAAAATATTAAGCAAGTAGCAGTGTGGAGCATATTAAGCAAGATGAACATCTCGGGAAGCAGCTGTGGACGCCCTAACTCTGCAGATATATCTAGTGACTTTAAGGACCTTTGGACAAAACCGAAAGAGTGTCATGAGAGAGAAGTACAAGGATTACAAGTAAAAGTAACCAAGCTAAAAAAGGAGCGAGTTTTAGATGCACAAAGACTAGAAGAATTCTTCACCAAAAATCAGCAGCTAAGGGAGCAGCAGAAAGTCCTCCATGAAACGATTAAAGTTTTAGAAGATCGGTTAAGAGCAGGATTATGTGATCGCTGTGCAGTAACTGAAGAACATATGCGGAAAAAACAGCAAGAGTTTGAAAATATCCGGCAGCAGAATCTTAAACTTATTACAGAACTTATGAATGAAAGGAATACCCTACAGGAAGAAAATAAAAAGCTTTCTGAACAACTGCAGCAGAAAACTGAAAATGATCAACAGCATCAAGCAGCTGAGCTTGAATGTGAGGAAGACATTATTCCAGACTCACCGATAACAGCCTTCTCATTTTCTGGCGTTAACCGGCTGCGAAGAAAGGAGAACCCCCATGTCCGATACATAGAACAAACACATACTAAATTGGAGCACTCTGTGTGTGCAAATAAATTGAGAAAAGTTTCCAAGTCTTCAGCTCATCCACAACATAATCCTAATGAAAATGAAATTCTAGTAGCTGACACTTATGATCAAAGTCAATCTTCAATGGCCAAAACACATGGAACAAGCAGCTATACCCCTGATAAGTCATCTTTTAATTTAGCTACAGTTGTTGCTGAAACACTTGGACTTCGTGTTCAGGAAGAATCTGAAACTCAAGGTCCCATGAGTCCCCTTGGTGATGAGCTCTACCACTGTCTGGAAGGAGATCACAAGAAACAGCCTTTTGAGGAGTCTACAAGAAATACTGAAGATCGTTTAAGATTTTCAGATTCTACTTCAAAGACTCCTCCTCAAGAAGAATTGCCTACTCGAGTATCATCTCCTGTATTTGGAGCTATCTCTAGTATGAAAAGTAGTTTAGATTTGAATACAAGTTTGTCCCCTTCTCTTTTAGAAACTGGGGGAAAAAATCATGTGAAAACACTTCCTTTTAGCAACACTTGCATTTCTAGATTAGAAAAAAACAGATCAAAATCTGAAGATAGTGCCCTTTTCACCCATCATAGTCTTGGGTCTGAAGTAAACAAGATCATTAGCCAGTCATCTTCTAATAAACGGATACTTATAAATAAAAATGTAAGTGAATCCACAGGTGAACAGGATAGGACTGATCACTTTAAAGAGTCTAACACTGATAAACATTTGGAGCCCCTGAAATCACTGGGAGGCCGAACATCCAAAAGGAAGAAAAGTGAGGAAGAAAGTGAACGTGAAGTAAACTGCCCCCAAGCTTCTTTTGATAAAGAAAATGCTTTCCCTTTTCCAATGGATAATCAGTTTTCCGTGAATGGAGACTGTGATGGACAAACCTCTGGATCTGTCTGATCGATTTTCAGCTATTCAGCATCAAGAGAAAAGCCAAGGAAGTGAGAACTCTAAAACCAGATTTAGGCAAGTGACTCTTTATGAGGCTTTGAAGCCTATTCCAAAGGGTTTTTCCTCAAGCCGTAAGGCCTCAGGTGGCAACTGCACATTGCCCAGAGATTCCCCAGATGAGCCCTGTTTACAGGAATGCATCATCCTTCAGCCCTTGAGTAAATTCTCTCCAGACAATAAACCAACATTACAGATAAAAGAAGAAAATACTGTCTTCAAAATTCCTCTACGTCCACATGAAAGTTTGGAGACAGAGAATGTTTTAGATGACATGAAGGGTGCTGGTTCTCATGAGCCAATAAAAATTAAGACCAGGTCAGTCCATGGAGGATGTGAACTTGCATCAGTTCTTCAGTTAAATCCATGTAGAATTGGTAAAATAAAATCTCTACAAAACAACCAAGACGTATCCTTTGAAAATATCCAGTGGAGTATAGATCCGGGAGCAGACCTTTCTCAGTATAAAATGGATGTTACTGTAATAGATACAAAGGATGACAGTCAGTCAAAATTAGGAGGAGAGACAGTGGATACGGACTGTACGTTGGTTAGTGAAACCGTTCTTTTAAAAATGAAGAAGCAAGAGCAGAAGGGAGAAAAAAGTTCAACTCATGGTGATAAACAGGACAAAGTCAAGCAGAAAGCATTTGTGGAGCCATATTTTAAAGATGATAAAAGAGAGACTAGCTTGCAAAATTTTCCTCATATTGAGGTGGTTCGGAAAAAAGAGGAGAGAAGAAAACTGCTTGGGCACACATGTAAGGAATGCGACATTTATTATGCAGATATGTCAGCAGAAGAAAGAGAAAAGAAGTTGGCTTCCTGCTCAAGACACCGATTCCGCTACATTCCACCCAACACACCAGAGAATTTTTGGGAAGTTGGTTTTCCTTCTACTCAGACTTGTATGGAAAGAGGTTATATTAAGGAAGATTTTGATCCTTGTCCTCGTCCAAAAAGACGTCAGCCTTACAACGCAATATTTTCTCCAAAAGGCAAGGAGCAAAAGACATAGATGTTGAAAAAGAAATAGAAGGATGGAGGACAGTTTTTTCCTTCTTAGTTATTTATAGTTAAAGTTGGTATTAAACACTAATGTTTTTGATCTTCTGTAAATGGATCTATAAATCAGTTTTCTATTGAAAATGTTTGTGGTATTTTGCTTTTGCACCTTTAAGACAACAAGGTGCTTTCATTTTGCACTCTAACTTGAGTTGTTTATTCACTTTATGTAGTAATACCTAATAAAATTTTGAAAATACAAAAAAAAAATACAAAAATTAGCTGGGTGGTGGCACACACCTGTAGTCCTAGCTACTCGGAAGGCTGAGACAGGAGAATTGCTTGAACTCAGGAGGAAGTTGCAGTGAGCCGAGATCACACCACGGCACTCCAGCCTGGGTGACAGGGCAAGCCTTTGTCTCAAAAATAAATAAATAAATAAATAAATAAAGTTTCTGAAATGCAGAGTTTAACATAGTAGAAATGTAGGACTTAGAAAGGTCTGCTTGCCAGATTGCCCTTAACCTGGCATCTGAGAACTTGGATTTCAGGAGAGTTCTCCCCATTCACTGATAGAAGCAGCTCACTCCCCCTAAGATGTTTGTATAGTGTGGTTTATACTGAACCTCTTTTCCTTGTGAGAGTCTGAAATTTTTGTACATGCTAGGCACAGAATAAATAGGTAAACAACCCCCAATAAGACCCAGGGCACTGAGGTTTCTAATTATTTCCCTAGCAGATGATTTTCCCTGGCAGACATTTCATGTGTGTTGTTACAATTCATTGCCAAAGAAATTAAGCATGTCCTGGGTGACTCTAAAGGAATAGACTTTTGCAAACCTAGATGCGGTTTTCTCCCCATTTCACCTCATGTGCCTACTGTAACAAACCTTAGCCATCAGTACGACTCTATGTGGAGTCATTTGAGTCCTCCTAGCATATCACCAAGGCTGGGGTGATCATGGGGACCCTGCAACACAGAGACCAACAAACCTCTTACCATCTTCAGGTGTTTGATAACTTTTCTGATCATTGCTTCTTCTGGTAGTAAGTCCTTTGTCTTACTTGATGGAATGGGCAAAGCATACCGTACAATGGATTCTCCTGTTGGTGGAGATCTTAGGACCATTGGTTCAATTCTATCATGAATTAATTTTGCATTATGTTTTTCCCTTAGTTTAGGTGACAACGGTAAATTATGTAGTCCTTTTTTAAAAGGTAATTCTGGAACATTTGCTGATTTGTTACTGGTGGTCAACAGATGCTGTACTGGTTTCATTTTGTTACTGACTTGGCTTCCAAATTATAGATGAAAAAAAAAATTATTCCTCCCTGTGGAAAAAAACATTAAGAGATTTAGAGAAAACACCAGCCCCTAATTAAATTTACATACTATATTTCTTTTTTTCTGATACTTTAGCAATTAGTTCAGAGTACATTAAGCAACTTCTGGAAGCTATAATTACACTTCGGGCTCTTTTGAGTCACAGTTACTTAAACGAAACAGACAGAAATAGAATGCAGTTATCACAGCATCTAATTTATATCAAAAAGTTATTTAAACCTAAGTATAATAATAATAGTAAAAGTCCCAACATTTTAAATCTAAGGTATGCCCTTTATGTACATCATCATTCCATTTTACATGGGAGTAAACTGAATTCAGACAAGTTAAGTGACTAACCAAGAGTCACACAGCTAATAAGTGTTAAATTTTTCAGAATTACAGCATAGGTCAAATGGGCTACAAATCTTGCTGCTTTTCTATAACATTTGCTCTCCATATGGAAAATGTTGGGTTTTTTTACCTACAGGATTTATATCATTTCCTGTAAGTAAAGGAGGATTGTAGATGAAAAAAATTCAGATTTAAAATGATAAAAGGATTATCAATTGCTATGGTGAATCCCAAAATCAACTCTGAAGAAATTAAAAATAGAAAATATCCCTAACAATAAAAAGAAACAACAAAAAAAGTTTTTTTTAACTGTATGAAACTCCTAAACAAAGTCTGATTTATTTTGGGGGCTTTTAGGATGGGAATATAGGGAGTGAAGAAGCCAGACGCAACAATGAAAGAATATATTCAGGAAAAAAAACTGTATTTTCTTCCCTCCTTTCCCCCATATTTGAGCTAATATATGGCCTTAATATACATCTTTCTTCCCACAGGAGCAGTAGCTTTGGCCCAAGGTATCATTAGGGTAATATCAAGACAGCATCAAAGCTATGTTAAGATAAAAAAAAAAAAAGTACAAACTAGATAGGTCTTGGGCTTTTATTCCTCTATTTTTCTCTCCCTCAAAGCTGACTAAGACTGAGGACAATGCCACCTCCCAAAGAGCTTAAACGTATATGCCTAACCGTGGGAATTGTCAAGTACAGTGGCAAAATCAAGTCAGAGTAATGTAACATTGGTTCTCTATTATCTGAAACTCTCTACACTTAGGCTAATCCCGTTGTTATATGTTGAACTGTGTCCCTGAAAAAGATATGTTCAAGTCCTAAGCCCCTAGCACTCTCAAATGTGACCTTATTTGAAAATAGAGTCTTTGTAGATATGATAAAGATGTGGTCATAATGAATTAAGGTGGGCCCTAAATCCAAGGACTGGTGTCACTTATAAGAAGACCACATAGCGACAGGCAGAAATTAAAGTGATGCAGCTGCAAGCTAAGGAATGTCAAGGATTGCTAGCATCTACCAGAAGCTTGTAAAAACCAGTGAAAGATTCTTCCCTAGAACCCTTGGGGGGAACATGGATTTGCTGAAACCTTGATTTCAGTCTTCTGGCCTCCAGAAACATGAAAAAATAAATTTCTGTTGTTCTAAGCCACCCAGTTTGCGGTACTTTGTTACAGCAGCACTAGCATCTTAGTCTGTTGAGGCTGCTATAACAAAACACTATAAATTGCATGGCTTATAAACAAGAAACATTTGTTTCTCACAGTTCTGGAGACTGGAAAGTCTAACGACATGACATGGCATTAGCAGAGATGGTTTCTGATGAAAGCCCAGACACCAAATAAATGGTGCCTCCTCTCTGTGTCCTCACATGGTAGAAGGAGCAAGGGAGCTTTTTCAGACCTCTTTTATAAAGGCACTAGTCTCATCCATGAAGGTGCTGCATTCATAAACAAATCACTTCCCAGAGGCTCCATCTCCTAATTGTATCATATGTTGAACTGGTGCCCAATTTCAACATACGAATTTGGGGATGACACAAGCATTTAAACCACAGGAAATATCTAGCACTTACTTTAGACACAGGAAATACACCCACATACTTTCCCTAAACTTCCAGGAGGCACACAGGCTGGGAACTGGCTTCTGATCATTTCCTAATAATAGATTACCAGAGGAAGTAGGTGACACCCCCAACAATATATGGGCTCACAGGTCAAAACAACTTGACAAATGAAAAACACAACCATTAAAAAATCAAAATAATAGGCTGGGTGCGGTGGCTTATGCCTGTAATCCCAGCACTTTGGGAGGCCAAGGCAGGCAGATTATCTGTGGTCAGGAGTTCGAGACCACCTGGCCAACATGGTGAAACCTTGTACAAAAAATTAGCCAGGCATGGTAGTAGGTACCTGTAGTCCCAGCTACTCTGGAGGCTGAGGCAGGAGAATCACTTAAACTTAGGAGGCAGAGGTTGCAGCGAGCCAAGATTGCATCACTGCACTCCAGACTGGGCGATAGAGTAAGACTCTGTCTCAAATAAATAAATAAATATAAAAATAATAAAAACATGTTTTAGTTGCAGAATCATTAGAAAAGAGAAACTAAAAATACATAAACACACAGCAAAAGAATGTTAGCCATATAAAATGGGTATGAGGTATTTTTAAGACTCAAGTGAAAATATTACAAAATGAAAAATAGATAAAATAACACAAGCAATCACAAAATAATACTGCTGAATAATAAAAACTAATGCAATGAATAAAAACAGTTGAAGAATAATCCAGCTGAAGAATAAAAAATAAAAAAAAGATCAGCAGCATTTAGAACATATTCCTGAACAGTAATAAAATAAAATGCACATCAATAGTGACAAGTATTAAAAGCTAGTATCATATTTGAAAAAATATAATTAGTAATTCTACTGAAAATGAGAAAATAAAGGCCTATATACTTTTTAATAACAATAAACATGATTCAATTTTTAGAGAAGCAGTACCTAGTGTCCAGAAGATCATCCAATAAATACTAAGAGCCCAATACTATAATTTTTTTTTTATTTGCCAGAAACCATGGCAAAAGTTGACAGTATCCTGTTAGCACATTTATGCGAAACACAAACATCAATGCCAAATAATATTAACATACTATTTTAGAGGATAAAATATTAAAACAAATAATACAACTTACAGATGTTATAAATAAAATCACTTTGAATAAAGTTTTAAAACCTAATAATTTCTCAATTATTTTGGACACAGCAGATAACAACTGTTGATGTAATTACAGATTTCCAAAATGCAGGTATTTCAATATGCAAACATTTATTAGGATTTTAACAAGTAGATGACACACAGCTGGAAAAGGATCATACACATGTTTAAGAGACTACTTATAAAAAATTAAAATTAAAAATATATGATATATATGGGGCAAGAGATACATGCCCTTCAATATGTCTGACAAGCACTAACAGAAAATTCTCAAAAATAAAAATTGTAAGACACTTTACACAACTTGCTGTTACAGTCTTTAAACTAGGTTGTGAACAATACAACAAAATGTCTAGGACCGAAAATGTTTAATTTTATCCAATAATTTTACAACTACTTTTTTGTTTCAATGAAACACTACAGTTAATTGAACACATAGCTGCCAAACATAATTTTTAAATCACAGTCAAATATGAGTTAGCAAAAATAATTTGATACCAATGTCACTAAAAATCTATTTGAAGGAAGAATGCAATGCTCTTCTGAAAACTACTGATAATAGTAAATATATACATTATAGAACTTGAACCAAAGCCCGTGCAAAATACTCTCGTTTACATTTTTCTTTTCTTTTTCTTTTCTTTTTTTTTTTTTTTTTTTTTTTTTTTTTTTTGAGACAGAGTTTTGCTCTTGTCACCCAGGCTAGACTACAATGGCACGACTTTGGCTCACTGCAACCTCCGGCTCCCAGGTTCAAGTGATTCTCCTGCCTCAGCCTACTGAAGTAGCTGGGATTACAAGCACCCTCCACCACACGTGGCTAATTTTTGAATTTTTTAGTAAAGACAGGGTTTCACC